TGAATCAAATATGTATCTTTATTCATTTACAATAAACTCATAAAGTACATCATTCTGATTGAAGCTAAGGGCATACAAAACTGTCTAACATGGTTTTCAAAAACAGACTAGACCGAACGGTCGGACCGGAAAAACCAGGAACTAGTTAGGTGATTGGTTCCATTTTCCCCAAAAACCAGATTTCCCCCCAAAACTGTTGATTTTGGTCAGCAAACTGCTGAACCAGGCAGTTAACTGTTCGAACGGTTTTGACCATTTTTTTTGAAAAATTTTTAATTTTTTTATTTTATTATCAGAAAGGACTGAATGTTCGATTCGAACAGTCAAACCATTCGACCCGGTAACCAGACCCCTGACCAATTCAGTCACCAGGTCGATTTTAAAAACCATGATCTAACATGAAAAACCAAAATTTCTTTCATTTATTTGATCAATATTTACAAGTATAGAGCGTTCATATATTATATCACGCTGATTTTAATAGGCAAATGAGCTACGATATTCTGAGTTCTACATCAGAAAATGACTTCTATATCTTGTAGAGATAATTCATCATATGAAGTTGTATGTACCATGATTTAGGCATAGTGCACTTCTGAATCTTCATGATTAAAGCTTTTGCATCTAAAAATATGTACACCTTCTCTTGTCCAAGAGATATTGTCTGCTTTAGTGCCTCAATATATCATAGTCCAATGTTCTACATCTTTTGCCTACTCTGTTACTTTATGGTCAAGAAGGAGCCATCAGCGTAGATGAGGAATATATCATTTGATAGATGTAAATCTTGTTGAAAAAATTGTGTAAGTGTGATTGTGGTCTTTTGGGTATATAAAATGAGATGATTAATTGGGATATAAATTTTACTGGATTTGGTTGGAGACCTCGAAAAATAATATCTCAACAAAATAACCATTCGAAATGGTTTATTGGTTATTATTAGATTAAATATCTATTTATGCTTGTAATTAGACCTGTTTATAGGTCTGGTTCGGGCTTGGCTTTTATCAAATTTTGAGTGGGGCTCAACTTGAAGTCCAAACCCGATATAATGTAAATCAGACCCGAAGCCCAACCCATAAACAAGTCTACTTGCAAGCAAATTGCTCTTGCAAAAGGTTATAGAAAGAAAATATATTTGTATTTGCTGGTGCCTTGTTCTTCTTTACAAAAGACATAAGGTAGGTTGATTTTCCTTGGCACCATTACTCTTTGTTAATTGAATTCCTTTCCAACAAGATTTTCACATGAACAATTGAAACTAAAAGGGTTTTCTTGTTTTCCAAATCATCTTCTACACTTTATGGAAGCAATGAGAGTATCTCAGATTGAAGAGACTTGTACATAGATTTGGTTGTAAATTTAGCATTATAAATATGCTTCGATTCCATAGGAGAGTATCTTCTTGCAGTGAAAGACATGCTGTAGTAGGGCTGTCAATATGTCAGATATAGGTCAAATCCAATCCGGCCCAATATGAATCTATTATAGATGGATCAGATCTAATCCAATGAATACTATGAACGATTCTGGACTAGTCCAAGTCAATATCCAGACTATCCAAACTGTTCAAATTATTTTTAACATAGATTTTGTCCGACTCGTTGACACATGTGCTCTTATATTATGTTAGTGGACTGGATATTGGTCCAACTCAATCCATTACAAATGGGACAGGTCCAATCTAATCTAATAATTACATTAGACAATTAAGTCTGGACTGGGTCCAATTTAATATACCTTATTGGTGCATCTAATCCGTTCAAATTGACTTTAATTCTGACGGATCCAATCCAAACCCTACATTGACGCCCCTAACTGTAACTGAATAATTGAATATTATGTTCAATTATTGGGGGTGGGGCCCAGCATGAGCCCGAGCCAGGTCGGGCCGGGCCAGCCTATAATAAAAAGAGTGTTTTACTTCCTCTATTTTCGTCCACAATGTAACTTTAATTTATTTTTCAAATTTACCCTTATAAATTTCTAAAATTTGTTTCCACTAAGTATCTATACATGCCATTAAATTTCTAATTATTTATAGTAATGCCATATGTCATCATATAACACAAATGTAATCATGATACTTTTCTCCCTTTCATGCCACCGTATAAAAAAACAATGAAATTCAACTTTTTCTTCTCTCTCACCTAATTCTTTTCCCCTCTCTCTCTTCCTCACAATATTTAGGATTGTCAATGGGCTAGCTTATACTAGTCCTGTCCCAACAAATTTTTATTTATTTATTTATTTTATTAAATTAAATAAATTATTATCTATAAATTTTATTTATTTAATTTACTAAATTATTTATTTATTTAAAAATAGTTTACTAATAAATTATTATTAGCTCAATATTTAGGGTTGCCAATGGGTCAGATCTGGTTTGGGATAGCCTATGTTAGTCTTGTCTCAATAAATTAGTTATTCATTTAGAATAATTTAGTAACAAATTATGTTTCAAAATTGTAATAATCTTTGTGCATTAGGGCTATGAAAAAAAATCTAATTTTTCATAATGAGATTTTTCTTGATTTTATTTTAAAATTATTTTTCATATTAAATAATTTTTACAACTATATATATTTTCACATTAGATACACGTGCATAGCACGTGCCCTTTTGCTAGTACAATAAAAATATGAACTGATTAAATGGAATTGAAAAAAAAAGTTATAATGAAATTGAAAAAATGATATGAAAAAATAGAAAATAAAAAATTAGAATGGAGTTGAAAAAATTTACAAATAACTTACAAAATACAAAAAAAAATGATGAAAAATTTAGAATTTATAATAATCTAAAAAATTTTCTTCAAGCCCCAATATGACTAAATGGTGATACATTAGATGACATGTCATGTCCTCTTTCATCTTGTAGTTTATCTTTTAAGTCAAACCAATCTTTTAGACAAATGCACAATGTCCAATGTTTCATCTATCACTTCATTTCTTGCACTAAAGTAAGATTCCAATGCTACAATAGACATTGAAATGGTTAATAAATCATGTGGCATAGCAGCAAACATAAGATAATTATTTTCTTGTATTTTCCACCAAGGAAAAATATCAAAGTTTCCTATATAAGACATCTAACATTATGCTTAATGTCTTTTCAAATAACCAGTGTCAATTGTAAAAATAATTCCAAAGATCACTGATTTTCTTTATTGGTACCCTAAAATTACTGACCAGCATTAGATTGGGTTTGAAAGGGGGTCTGAGAAGAACCGGCCATTTTAAATTTTTAATAAATATTAAAAAATCCAACTGACACGACTTGGAGTCTGGTATGCTAATTCAGTATTTGAAGTTGAATACAAATCTTAAAACTCTCAATTGAAGACACTCGATCAAGCCTTCTTTCTTTTTGAAATAAAAATAAATAAAATTAAGAGTAGATCGTAGAGTAGTATAGAGCATAATAGGAGAATATGGGAATGGGAGATTGTATTTGATTGAAAATGGGTAAAGATTAGGGTATTTGTAGAGGTTAGAAATAATTGAATTGACCAATTAAAATATCCACATAAACTAGCCATTTAAAATTGTTGAGAGGAGTACTTTGGTTATTTAATAAAATTTATTTTATCACTTTATGTGAAATGCCCCCATAAACTTTCTACTTATAATTTTAATCACTTTTACATTCCCTTTGATAAACTACACAAATACCCCTCAAAGTAGTTTATAACTGTGTGGGTGGGGTGGGGTGTTTTTGGTTTTTGCCATCATAAAGGGTATAAAACTGCTATAGTAATTTCATACAGACCATGCCAGAACGAGCCCACACGGGTCGCGCCGTTATTTCGCACTTAAACGTGTCGTCAATAATCGTCATGCCGTGGGGCTACACTCTGTCAATCTCGACTACGTTCACACATCTTCCTTCCTTCCTTCCGGTTCAGGTGTCTAGATTTCCACGTGCGCCAATTCTCCGTCGTCTCTTTTGCTTTTCTCCTTGTCTAAATCGCGGACCTCTCTCCCATTTATATGTACCTGTACCCCGATTCTTTTTCTCCAATTGTCTCTCTCTCTCTCTCTCTCTCTCTTATATTTCTTCATTTTCTTTTCTACATGAACTACTTTGAAGAGGAGTCTTCTGCTTCTTCTTCCTCCAGTGAGCTACAGGGTTCGAATGCGCCATCCAACGCGAGCTCTCCGTCGGAGGCGAACGTGTCGCCGGCCGCATCGCACAAGCGGAAAGCCGGTAGGAAGAAGTTCCGAGAGACGCGCCACCCGATCTATAGAGGAGTCAGGGAGAGGAACGGCGGCAAGTGGGTGTGCAAAGTACGTGAGCCAAACAAGAAGTCGCGGATTTGGCTGGGCACCTTCCCTACCCCGGAAATGGCAGCTAGGGCTTATGATGTCGCAGCGTTGGCTCTTAGGGGGAAGTCTACACCGCTCAACTTTCCTGATTCTTCCTGCCTTCTGCCTCGTGCCAAATCATCGCTGGCCGTTGATATACAGGCAGCGGCTCTTGAGGCTGCTGAGGCTTTTAGGCCTGCGACAGCTTCTTGCACCTCCTCCTCATCTTCTCATCAGGGGACCAAGGTTGAGAGCGAAGAGAAGGTTGCAGAAGATTCCACCATGTTCTTGGATGAGGAGGAGCTGTTCAATATGCCAGGTCTGATTCACAGCATGGCGGAAGGGTTGCTTCTTACGCCACCACCTATGCAGAAAGGACCCGATTGGGATGACATGGATTGCCACATGGACTTTACTTTGTGGAGTGACTAACGTGCTTTTAATTTCTATACCTACCTTTCCACAAACCTGGCTTCCCTTCATTATTTTTCTTTTTGTTTCATTTCTCTCTTATGCTGTTAGAGCTCTGCTGCCATTGTTCTTTTTATTCCATCATTCAATTTTTTTCCTATTCTATAGTTGATTGATCAGATTTAATATTTTTCCCTCCATTGCCTCATAGGCTCCACTAGATTTTTTTTTTTTTGACCTTCCAGTAATTTTCAGAGAGCTTGCATATACTTTCAAAATTAGTAATGGAACCCTCATCTCTCTCTCTCTCTCTCTATCAGACTCTATCAGTCTGTCTTCTCGAAACCCTTTTCAATTTACTGTCTTTGTGATTAGTAATTGGGTGGAAAAGTTAACCAAACTTGGCCAGAAACCCAGTGTTGCAGAAACTAGATTCGAGCGAACCGCAGAGGTTTCATGCAAAATTTTGTTTGTTTCATCTAGAAACTGACCACTATAGGCTTGGTTAATTCTCAGTAACAGGCCTGGGTTAATCTTCAACTGCCCGAATTGAACCCCTAATTACAACAATATTATCTGAACTCAATTCAAGTCCAATATCTGATTCATTCTGAACTATCTATATTAGGTTGTATTTTGATTGTAGAGTGGAAGTGGAAGAAGCTTGAACTATCTATATCTATTGAAGTGACCGAGGAAGGGGTATTAAATCCACTACTTTCCATATCCTTACGGAACCAAAGATAATGTGATTTGTTGAATTTTTTCTTGTTATTCGTATTACACATGTATCAGAATATGCCAGGATTGGTTGGTTAAATTTATTTTTGTGTTCTCTGTAAAATAAAAGAGACGCATATTCAATCCTATTATTTGGAAGGAGTATAAATACAAATATGTAGAGTGAAAAACCTTATATTTTGTATTATTTTATAAGGGTTTTTATAGTTCAGTCCACCCCTAGGGTGGAGCTACGATTTCTAGGGGTAGTGGACCGAATCCTGTTCATGGATTGATGCCGAATTCACGGCAGGATGCAGTTTAGGGGGGGAGGGGGGAGTGGCTAATAGTGGATTAGGAGGGGGCTGTAATTCAGATTTTTGAGATGGATTGCAATCCACTAATCCCGTATGTATTTATATTATACATATTTGTATTTACACTCCTTTCAAACTGAGCCTAATGTTCAAATTATACTGCTTTTCTATTTTAATTGGGTGCCAAACGTTGTCAATCATTTTCCTAGTAGAAGAACTTTATTAAATCAACAGTAATTTATCTTTAATCCAGTAAAAGAATCCAATGGATGGTGGCATATAGGGCTCATTTGTGGACTAGCTTGTGCTACACAAACATTGTAATGGACATGGAGAGGTGCCCTAATCAAGCTTTTCAATCATCCCTTCAAATGCATGGTTATAGTTGGGGACAATGTAAATAAGGAATCTAGAAAGCCCATGTAAGACACAACTTAGGGGGAGTTCTACAACATGAATGTGTTTTGTTTTCATTTGTTTTTGAAATTTTCACTTCCGAAAAAAAAAGAAAAAAAAACGATGATATATATTCTTGAATTTTACTTTTGTATTTAAAGACAAAAATTGGTTTTGTTTGATGTTTCTCGAACCATTACGGAGACATTCTACAATGTGAATTGTTTTGCTGGTTCCAAAAATAAATCAAAACTATATATCTTGTTTGAGAATATATTATTTTTTAAAAAGCATATTTTTGATTGTGCATATGTTTTTAGTTTTCAAAACTGAAATCAAAAGCATGTGCTTTAATTGTTTTGGTTTCAAAAACGTGTTTTCATTTGGTTATTTAGCATCAGGTTCCATAAATCATATAATTTTTACACTACAAAATCATATAATTTTGAAATAAAAAATCACACAAATAATCAACATGTTTTTCATGCATGCTTTTTTCTTAAGAACCAATTGATCGATTTTGTTTTGTTTTGAAATTGACAAGTGGCAACAACTGTATTCTGAAAATGTCCTCGTAACGATTGATATAATTTTCTTTTTCTTTGCTCAAAACCTTTTGGTCAGATTTTAGCAAATCCCAAATCCAATTTAACATACTATATTCTCAAAATGCAATACATGGGAACATGGTTTTCAAAATCGGACTGGACCGGACAGTCGGACCAGAAAAACTGGGAACCAGTCATCTAACCGGTTCCGCCTTTTCCCAAACTTGCTTTTTTCCCTAAAACTGTTGATTTTGGTCAGTAAACCGTTGAACCGGCCAGTTAACTGTTCGAACCATCCGAACCGTTCGAATGGTTTTAATCATTTTTTAAATTTTTAAATTTTTTATTTTTTTGTCAAAATAGGCCAGCCATTTGGTCGAACGATCAAATCGTTTGAACTGATAATCAGACCCCTGACCGGTTTGGTCACCGATTCAATTTTAAAAACAATGCATGGGAACGGGATTTGCTCCTCACACATGGGCACCTCACAGGCACATCCACCGTGCATTGAGAACATCTCCCGTGAATAATAACTTATAAATACGGGAGATGTTCCCAATGCATGATAGGATGTGAGTGTGAGGCACCCTGTGTGAGGAGCAAATCCGGTCTCCAATACATGTGGTTTATCTGGTTATCACAAAAAATGAGATATACGAACTCAGCCCAGGTCAAACTAAGGAGACCAAATCAGCCCCCCCACAACGTTCCACAGCACATCCCCGCCATGTATTGGGAACAAGTCTCGATGATAACATCACCATTTTTGGTATTATCATTGGGAGATGTTCCCAATAAACAGTGAAGATGTACTGTGAGACGTTGTGGGGGGCTGATTTGAAGTCCAAACTAAGTCAATAAGGAGATAAGTTGATTTGTGAAAGGTGATTAAGCCATGGAAGCAAGTTCTCAATACAAAATCACAAGACAAATTCATTTCTTAGGCTGAAAATTCCATTAGCATTGGTGTAAATGATGTGATTTTGCTTCAGATAAGTTAGAAATGTGAAATGCCAATAATTGGCTCTTTCTACAGGTACTTTTGCTTCAGATTTTGAATGTCTTATTTGGCATCGGTGCTGTGCATGTCTGGGTTGTACTTGATTTTTGTTTGGAAGCAGTGCTGCCACATAGGCTATTTTTTTTTGAAAAAGCAGCACTGGTTTTGTTTGGTACCAATGTTGTAAAACCGTTTTCAGTATTGGTCACATTATCCAATGTCTAAGACAATAAACACATCATTGCACCATTGGCAGCAATGGATTGTTTTCTGAGAAAATATTGAATTTGGTGTTGCTTCAGACTACATTTTTCCAATTTCCAATGCATGGTGCTTCATTCAGAAGCACCACTTTTTTTAATGTACCTACATGGTGTCATTTTCTCAGAAAGCAATGTCCATGACAAACACTGTCTATTTGTTTGGGAGTAACCTAAGAAGCAAGATGATATAGTCTCCACATTATATGAGAGAGAATTAAAATAGGAAGAAGGTAGTGTAAATTTATACTATCAATGAGTACAAATGAAACAAAAAGAACAAATTTGGTATCAAATACACTGAATCATAATTACAAACAAATGGATGCAATATTGAACTGGTCTAAATTTTCAACAGAAAAATATGGATAGGCCCATAGTAAATTTCTGAATTCTAGTGTATATTTATAAAAATTCAAAGTGTCAAATACCCCCACTTTATACATCAATGCTTGTCCGTAAATTGACACCAATTCCAAACTGATACCTACCCCAACTATACTTTGGGCCTAAGAATTCTAACCCTGGTCTGAACCGTCATTCATTATGAATGCAATCAGATATATAGGCAGCCCATGTTTAGGGGTGAACCCAAGAATAATTAAGATGGCAAGAATTTTGCCACTGAGCTTAAATTCCTTATTGGCAACGAACAGCTTTAAACCTTTCTGATTTCCGTAAGTGCCATGAAGGATTACTGCCAACAGAGCTTTAAACGTTCTCTTCTCTACTCTGACTTAAATTATATTGGGCTGGTTGGCTTGATTATTGAGTCTATTGACCTTTTATATTTTTTTGGAAAGCCACTCACACTTTATATATTGACTCTTTTGTTTCCACATTTGACCCAAACAAACAACGAGTCTCAAGTTTCAACACCTCAAACCGTGTCTGAAGAGCGTAAATTAATACACCATGCATAGTGAAGTAGAACACTGAATCTGCTCGCTTGACAATCCAAGGGGAGCAGCTTCATCGGTGGCTTTCATATGGCGGCTTTTGGCTTTACGATGGGTTTCACCAGGACAGTCTATAAGCAATGTTTGACTGAAAAGCTTGTAAAGCTAAAATTAGTTATATTTTCGTAAAAAAAAAAAAAAGGCTTTCCTGTGAGCCTTTTTTCGTGACTTGTCCAAAATAGTGCAAAGAAAATGATACAAAAACTAAAATGGTCCAAAACGGTCCATAGTCTTAATATGAAAATGTTTCGATACAGAATGTTGGATTTTAATCTCATAAGAGATTAAATTCAATGGGTTTGATTGGTCAATTATATGAGAAATTGCATTTGTATACTTGATTGAAAAATTAGTTTTTCTCTTATAAAACCAAGTTTTGAACTTGTCCCACATTGAAAAATTATAAGCTTTGTTTTCAATATTTTAATAAGAGCTGATTTACACTCTTTAGAAATAGTAGAGGAGAATATGGTGTTCGTAAATTGACACCAATTGTCAAATGCAAATTAAAATATCATTTAATAATTTATAAAAATATATAATCTCAACTTAAAATATATCAAATCTATTAAAATTTCTATGATAAATATCATATGAAAATTCATAAATATAGATTAGTAGGTTTGATAGGTTCAATTTAATATTATATTATTGAATATTGTGTAAATGTTTTTTATTTTTTTTTAAATAATAATTATGTTACTATTTAATATAAATTAAAATATTAATTTTAAGTACTAAAATTTATTATTCTATTATTAATATCTTATTTGTATTAATTTCTTGAGATTCAAATAAATATTTTTATATAAATGTAGATTTGATAAATTATTTATTTTATTATTTTATAAAATATGAATTTTGAATATTATTCTTTATAATTTTTAATTGGAGTTATTAGACATAAATATGTATTGTCTATTATGATTGCAATTAGAGAATAAAATTAATAAATATTATTATATTTAATTCTTATTTATAAAAAAACTAAACTCTATTATAAAAAACTACATCTTTTCAATAGAAATTCACATAGGCACAAATGCTTATCGTATATTCGATACAATGGTCAAGCACCCGTATCAGGATACATTCCCATTATCCTGTATCACCTTCCACTAGTTGAGTGAGAGAGAGAGAGAGAGAGTTTCTGGTCACTATTCCAATTCAGATCAACCTTCACCTAAGGTTTTAAAAACTGACCTAACAATGGAGCTTTGACCTTCATTTCAAGTCAGCACTCAGCAGTTCAATCATCCAAATCAAATAGTTCAAGCCAAGATATAATAAATATTTACAAAAGGTCAAAAACTCACACCTTATGCACTCATACCCGCTCATGAATTGGCATCAATTCCGAGTTGACACTTACCCCAATTGTACTTTGGACCTATGAATTTTAACTCTGGACTGATCTCCCAAAATTTTATGGTGAAATAACATGAGGGAACCTATTTTACTAAGTCAGCTGTATATAAATATATATAGGAAAGACATCGATTTAACCCTGAAACTTTCAAGATAGAAGATGGGTTTGCCACATCATCTTCTACATGAGACAAATTTAGAGCCAACACAGCTCCTTTCAAAACGAAGACTCTTTTAACCATGTATTTTGTCAAAAGAAACCTCAAACTATAGCTTTTTTTTT